AACATATACATACGTATACATAATTTTACCCCCTCATCAGCAATAAAAAACCTTAACCACTGAAACATCAGCTTGTAAAAAATAAAGTTATGTAGTTTCATATATTTTCAACAATTTAACTTTTGTCATTTTACCAAATAAATTAAAGAAATCAGCATTTTTATAATCGCTGTCCAAGTTATTACACAATCTTATTCCTTGAACTGGGGTACATATATCCTTCAAGTTTATTCAAATTTTTGGTTTTATAAACATTTTAAATACTTTCAAATTATAACAACTTTCCCTCTTAACAAAATTAGATGGGATATTCAAAGGCAATACATTTTTATGAGCCCTATACATAATCAACAAAATCTTATAATCAACCAACTCACAAAATTTTAATATTTTCAATTGATGAAATAATATATTTGGTGGGTGACTTTAATGTTTCCTGATAATAATTCTTATAGTTCTTCTTTGCAGGATAAAAATAGAATTTGTAAATGTTTTACATGCCTTACCCCAAATTTCAACACAATAAATCAAATGCGGAACAATTATTGCATAATGTAATATAAACAGTGCTTTATCATTAAATAACTCCTTTACCTTATGCAGTACTGCAATAGATTTAGGTATTTTTTGTTCTTAAGTAACTTATATGAGGTTTCCAGGTCAGGTTTTCATCAATAATACTTCCCAAAAGCTTTACTTCGTTAACTTTACAGATCTCCAGACCATCAACTTTAAATGAAACATCAACCGTTCTTTTTCTTTTACTGAATATCATTGAATTTGTTTTGTCCAGATTTAGTGATGATTTGTTAAGTTTAAACCAAGTTTGTATTTTTACAAATTCTTTCTGTCATCATTTTTTGTGATAGCTAAAGGGGGATTGGGCTGTGGCGGTCATCTTAAATTGAATTGACTCCAAATGTTAATGAGATTTAGATGTATGCAATGATTACTTTCTGAGAATTTTTCTATTTTCCCTTCCTCAGCTGCTAAAGACAAACGACCACAGACACGCGAAACATCCCTGCCATCCGCATCGCATCGCAAGCAATCTATCTGCACGAGAGAATGACACACGAAACGTACGCACATCACGGTAACCAGACCTGTCTGCATAAAGCAAACAATCAAACATATGGATTTCCTGCCAGCTTCAGTATGTAGGTCAGATTGTTCTACTCAAAATGCAGCTTTAAAAAAAAAAACGGAAAAGATCGCACAGGTACAGATGGAGCACCGTATAACAAAAACAGTATTAATATCCCCGCAGAGAGCCTCATTCAGCTGCACTTCATACGTCTGCTCCCTGCAGAACAAAAGCATAATCAGAGGTGGAGCCAGAGAGAAACTCAATTAAAGAGAGGCCCGCTCCTCTCTCGCCTCCTCCACCTG